CTTTCTACCTCTTATGGATTTGTCTCTTATGGAAATTTCTTATAAATGGAATCCTATTCCATGCAACTTTTTGTGCCTGTTTTAAAATTTAAAGAAAAATAGAGTTTCTATTATAGGTCAGGAATCCTTTGGTCACAGATAGTAGAGAGCACAACTCAGTCTCTCTTAAGTGGAATGAACGAGTGGAATGGAATTTACTGGCTCTCGTAATTAAGAAGTAAACAGGTAACTGGTTCCAGCTATGGTGGTGTCTACACAGGCTGCAAGTGTGATCAGGAGCCAGTCTTATTCTCTGCATCTCTCCATTCTGTTTTCTTATTATGGGTGTTCTCCCCTGTAAAGATACTGTGGCTGCCAACAGCTCCTGAATTATACTTTGCCCTCTTTATTGACTCTAGCATAGAGATCCTCTTCATTCACAGTTTAAAGTCCCAGCACTGAGACTTAAACCACCCAGGTCATGAGCTCATTCCTGGGCCTAACATCATAGCAATAGGAGATGGAATGCACTCTGTGCCTGTCCCCGAAGGATTGCATTATCTGGGGGAATCTGATACCCTTGCTATTCTGGCCTGGGTCGCATGCCTACCCTTGAACTCAGGTGTGGAATCAACCCATTTGACCACATGAGGTGACAAAAAGAGGGAGGATAGGCCATGCAGAAGGCTAAATCTACACTTATCCACTACATTTTTAGTGTGGAAAGAGCCATTAGGAATCATATACTCCAATCTGAACATAGGGATGGGGAATGAGCTGCAGATGCAGAGATGCCTTCCCCAGACCCCTGGAATCACTAGCAGAGCTTTGTTGCCTCTGTCCTGCCAAAGAGCCTGTCCCAAGGGAATTATGGCATTTGCAGGTAAATGGATGGAACTAAAGAATATCATACTAAGTGAAATAAGCCAATCTCAAAAAACCAAAAGCCAAATGTTTTCTCTGATAAGCGGACACTGATCCATAGAGAGGTGGGGGGATAGGGAAGAATGAAGGAACTTTGGTTTGTGCAGAGGGGTGGGGCTGTGGGGATTGGAAGGATGGTATAAAGAGACATTATTACCCTATACACATGTATGATTACACTACTGGTGTGACTCTGCACCATGTACAGCCAGCGGAATGAGAAGTTGTGCTCCATGTGTGTACAATGTGTCAAAATGCATCCTACCGTCATGTATAACTAATTAGAACAAGTAAAAAAAAAAAAAAAAAAAAAAAGAACCTGTCTGCATCCACTTCCCAACCCCATCCCAAGGCAGTTATCAGACAAGCCAACAAAAAAGCCTAGTATGTTACTCTGCTTTGTTTCTCTGCCCATACTTCTCCTGGCAGGGCCTCTTCCTGCTCCAGATTAGCCAGCCTGTTTCTCAGGCTCTCTGGACAGGGGCCTTTGTGCTGAAATAAAATATCCACAGGATCTGATTATGCACATCTCATTGAGTCTTTCTGAAGGTCTTAATAGTGTCACCACCCTATGGATGTGCAGAGAAGGGAGTATGATGATAAGAATGTTCATTCATATACCACTTTCATTCTCTGAAGAACAGCCCCATCACAATTCTGCACTAGGCTACTAAAATACAAAAGAGAATAAAGTCCTCACTCTCCAAAGAATACACATATCTGTTGGAAGACAGATATGTAAAAAGGCAATGATTGTACAATGCCTTGGCATTAGCAGAATATATGATTCCAGAGCCCTCAAAGGCAAGATTGAAGAGAATTTAATGAAGAGACTATTTCGAAGGAACTGCCCTCAGGGCTAACAACAGTAGGAAGTTGGTACCACGACTAAGCTTGAAAGAGCAGTTAGTGGAGCCCAGCAAGAACTGGAGCTATGACAGATGGCTGCCAGACACACGCTGTGGGTTTAGATGAAGGAAGCCAGCAACTGTCCTGCAAGGAAGAAGCAGATGGAATAAATGTCCCAATATCTCTTCCACCCTCTGGTCTCCTGTTAACACCTCCATTGGTCAAACCCAACCAGAAACCAAAGGTCAAAGGAGCTCTTTGGTATAGTCTACAGAGGTAAACTACCTGGGACACAGAGTTGGGTAGAAAATAGCAGAAGTTTTAGAGGAGCAAAAGAAAACAGGCTGCCCAGCCAGGAAGAGCATCCAAGAGTACCAGACTGAGGGAAGGAGAGGGTAAGTCTCTCAGTGGGGCTGGTGGCATGGACGAAGTGTCTTCCAGGCAGTGGACTGCTAGGGTACAAAGACACTGGCATATGAGAGCCATGATATATTTGAGAAGCTACAGGAAATCTTCTGTGGTTATAATTAGAGGACAGAGCAAGGTCAGAGATTAGATCTGAGTCTTGGAGAAGAGAAGAGGGCTCTTTCATCATGAGGGTCTTGTGTGTGATGTTGAGAGACTGAAAATCAAGAGGGAGGCAGAAGGTGACACGAGGAAGTTGACACAGTACAAAGGTGACTCAACCAGCATTGCAGGAAGTGAATTAGAGACAAATAAGGATACTTGTAACCATCCTTGGAAGTGACGACAGGGTCATAAAGGAAACAGTAGTCTTGCAAATAGAGAAAAGAATTTGGGTTTGAAATATTAGGGAGTTGAAAGAAGTTAGTAATCCCTTAGTGTTGAAGGTGAAGGAAAAGGGGTGTTGTGTTGAACTTCCCTTTCACCAAAAATGGAGCTATCCAGCTGGTGTCTCGGCCTCAGCACTATCGACATTTGAATCTAGATGGTTCGTTGTTATAGAGGGCCATCCTATACATTGTAGGATGTTTAACATCCATTGTTTCTACCCACTCAATGTCAGGAGCGCCCCCACCCAACTCATGACAACCAAAAATGTCCCGAGACATTGCCAGGTGACAACAAGCGGCAAAATGATCTAAGTTGATAGTTTTTGATTTGGGGGAAAAATGGTTCAGTTCTGGGCAGACTGAGTTTGAGGTACCTCTGAGACATTTGAGGGGAAGGATATCAGGTAAGACTTAAGCTTGTGAATTTAAAACCCAACATCATAGTGTGGGCTGGTGACTCAACAGAGGAATTATGAGCATATAACATTTCTGAAATGACATCCACCGCACCATAACTTCTCAAACTCCTCTCTTCGGTGAAATGCGACCAGCTATTTCTTTCTTGTTGATGTTTATGTCAAGCTATATAGAAGGAAAAAAAACCCAGCAGAATGGGAGCAGGAATCCAGTATCACTGAATTGAGCTCTTCTAAGCATGTGGTTAAAGGATGGAGATCTGAGATCAGTGGATATCTGAGACCCATCCTGGCTCCTAACCCTCCTGTCTTTGTCTCTGGCCAAACCTTTCTGTCACTCTTGCATCTCCTCTTGGACATATTTTGTTGCAGTTTGAATGATCTGACATTCTTAGAGTATTTATAACCTTCTATAATGTGGTATAAATCTTTTTCATAACATAATGCTGCATGATGAAGAAGCTAGATCTTCAATGTTGAGAAGTTAGGAGAACTCATCACTTATTAATTCCATAAATCAAAATAGGACAAGGGCCCCCAAGAAGAGCATAAAAGTGTTCACTGGCAAATATCCCCTCAAAGGGGGCAAGAGGTACCTGTATAGGCTCATTTCTCCCAACTTGATGTTTCCTCATTATATAAGTTGGGACAGGAATAGAAATAGCATCTCATCAGGAAGACTGTGGAGATACATGAAGAGGGGCTCCTAGCATCTACAATAATACGTATAATAGAGGCAAGCTCAGACTGCAAACTTTTTTGAGTGCCTTGCACATGCCAACTGCTTTTATGCACATTATTGATGAAGTAAAAATTTTAATTCAAGACAACAAAAACAGTATTTGTAAACATAATTATGCTCTAATGCAACATATTTAATGACTGACAAGCTTCCTAAAATCATCCTTCAAGGAAGAATCAGCCAGTTGTTCATCAGATTTGAGCATCTGTATCATCCCAAACCTATGTCCTCTACTGTGCCTCTTGAAATAAGTTGTTATGGTTTAGATATGAGGTGTCCCCCAATAGCTCATGTGTGAAACAATGCAAGAAAGTTAGAGAAATGATCAGGTTATGAGAATATTGACCTAATCAGTATTGTAATCCACTGGAATGGATTGACTGGGTGGTAACTAGGTAGGATGTAGCTGGGTGAGGTGGGGCACTGGAGGCAGCCTTTGGGGGAGGCATTTTGTCCCTGGTGAGCGGAACTCTGCTTTCTGGTGCCATATTCTGAGCTGCTTCCCTCCACCATACCCTTCCACCATGATTTTCCCTTGCACCCTGGCCCAGAGCAATGGAGTTGACCGTCTATGGATTGAGACCTCTGAAACCATGAGCCTCCAATTAACTTTTCCTCCTCTAAAATTGTCCTTGTCAAGTCTTTTGGTCACAGTAATGGAAAGGCTGGCTGAAACTTATATGAATTAGACCATGCTGAAGGCAAACAGCTTCTTCTATATTATATGCATGATCAATGACAAATTCTACATGATATAAGTCTGGCTATAAAAATTCAGTGAAGTTTATCTGTTCAAAAGAGTTTCAAGTTGTATTTGGGGTTTCCTTTCAAATAAATTTCAGCAGAGCAATGGTTGCCAGTTTATGTTGTGGAACGTACATGTAGCATTGGTGATAGACAACAGTAAATAAAAGATACAGAATAAGCATGAAAATACAGAATTTAATCCTATAATAAATATTTCCTACAAACAAACTAGATTTTTTTTTAAGTTACTGGAAGCACTAAGCCCTTATAAATATCAAGAAGAGCTGGGTGCAGTGGCACACACCTATGATGACAGTCTCATCAACTTTGCAAAATCCTGTCTCAAGATAAAAATAAAAAGGGCTGGGGATGAGGCTCAGTGGTGGAGTACTCCTGGGCCCAATTCCCCAGTTTTATACATACTCAAAAATAGTTGTGAAGTAGGCCTGATTCCTTTTTTCTTTATCCTTCTTTCTTTCCTTCACCACCCTCTTGCTTAGGTGCTCCATCGTCAGCGCTGGTCGCCCTAAGAAAACACCACAGACTGAATGGCTTAAACTAAAGAAATTTATTTTTTTCACAGCTCTGGAGGCTGAAAGGCCAAAATCAAAATGTTGGCAGGGTTGGTTTCTCCTGAGGCTTCTCTCCTTGGATGGCAGATAGTGCATTCTGGCTGTGTCCTTGGGTGACATTTCCCTATGTGTGAGTACATCCTTAAATATATCTTCCTCTTCTTTTACCAGTCATATGGGATGAAGACCCCATCCTTGTGATCTTATTTAAATTTAATCACCTCTTCAAAGACCCCCCAAAAACTGTCACTTTGGGGGTTAGGGATCCAACATGAACACAACAGGCACCTATGTTCTCTTTCTTTACTCTCCCTACCTGCCACTCTGTCCTTGTTCTCAGACAGGAATATCATGAACCCAGTTCCATTGTTTGTAAACACGTAAGCATTTGTTGGAAGTTGAAGTTGGGCACCAAGCCTCGGGGCAACATGGAACTTCAGTCCCCACTGACAGGCAAAGTCATAGAGCTCAGGACAGAACCAGAGTCAGCATCCCCAGGGTAGATCAGAAAGGAAGCAGTCGGCCATCATGATGAGAAATGATTAAATCCAGTGTTAGAAAAGTAAAATTTTTTTCCTTCTCTGTCATCCATTTAACCCTATCTTTATTCAACAATATCAAAGGCTAGTTGAACAGAAATGCCATTTTCTTGTTCCAAGATCTCCTTTGCGTTTCTCACTGATGGTTTATTTGGATAGGTGTTGGAGTGGAGTCTGGGCCTCCTTCCTAGGTAGGCACCTCCAAAACCCTAGAAGCCATTCCCAGTGGTCCGGCTTTGGGTAGAGATCTGGTATGGAGTGGAGAGTTTCCAGGGGGCCACAGCATGGCTCCAGTCAACTCAACATTCTCCATCAGAGGCTGGTGTCCACCAGCGGGCCAGGTTGTTGGACCACCTGCATTCTTCTGTTTATGGCATTAAGAACTTTCTTCCTAGGACCCAGCTGCATTTGTATGTTCTGAAGGTCCTCATCGGAGCAAAGCATCAGAGCTTCTAGATCAATCTGCTCTCTCGTGAAAATGGGAAGGAACTCTCCCAGGTGGTGGGACTGCAAGAACACTTCGAGGGGAGTCGCATCCACAACTTCTTCCTCCCACTCCACTTCATCCTCATCCCAAGGCAGCTCAGGTGACCCAAGGCCATTTTCACCCGCTTCTCCCTCTTCACCCGCCTCAGCTTCATCAGCCTCTGCTGCTCTTTGGAGCAAGTCACTGGGCATTTTAAATTCCGACTCCCTCTTGCTGTTTGAGATGTCTTCAGGGCTCCATGCTCTGTTCTTTTGAAAGACAATATTCCCTAGACCTGGACGGTTGAGAATGGATTCATGTTGCTCATCATCGTCCTCCTCTGCTGGGAACTGGAGCTTCTCTTTGAAGCCCCTGGAAAATGAATCTTCGTCCTCTTCTCTGAACACTTCCATCACATTCCTCTGCCCACTTCTACCCTCCTTCCCTATGGGCTCTGCTGTGTCTTTGTTCTTCTTGAACTTCATCTTGAAGGTATCTTTAATGCCCTTAGACAAGGACCCAAATGTACTGGAAGCAGAAGCACTTGAGAAGGATGACCTGGAGAAGGTGCCCTTGGAAGAAGAAAGAGTCCCTGATTCCTCCTTGTTGTAGGTGCGGGCCATCTTATTTTGGTGTTTCTCCTGGAGCCTTTCACACTCTTTGATCTGCCTCCTGGCATTTTTCTGAGCCTGCTCCTTCAGCCTGGAGACCTTCTTGGGGTTCATGGTGTTCTGGGCAGTGGCAGCCTTATCCAGGAGAGCAACACATTCATTCTGATCCCTGCTGGCAGCAGCATCCAATGGAGACTGTAAGTCATTATCCAGGGCAAAGATGTTGGCACCAAAGTTGATTAGGAATGAGACACAGTGGGCATAGCCATTGGACGCTGCGTAATGTAGAGGAGTATTTCCCCAGATGTCACATTTATCAGGGTCCCCTCTAAAAGAGAAAATATGAAAGTTGCAAGTGAAACATTTTTTTTCTGGGAACATAAATTCCAAAAACAGAAATAAAAACAAAAATAACGAACAAAATGCAGGCTAGTGCAAGCCTGTTTATCCTGCCTTGACGTTGACGTACTATAGCTGCTCTAAGTCTAGATATGTCATCTTGCAGCTAGACACCATATGGCCAGAAACAAACAAACAAAAAAAGCCATTCTCTGCCCTATCTCGTTTTTAGAAGAAAATCTTTCCAAGAAACTCCCTAACAAGTCAACTTTCATATCTCATTGGCCAGAATTGGTTCCCATGCCTAGAAAGGGTAGTACCATGTTTAACTTAGATCAATTAGAATTTTTCCCTGAAGCTAGGAATAGGATTATCCAAAAGCATATTGGTAAATGTTTAACCACTGGCTCATTTGAGGGGAAAATCATCAAAGCCCTGATGTATAGCATGTGCCAATTTCTGTTGTGTAAGAATATTCACAATGATAAATTTAAACCTCCCAATATAAAATCCCTAGACAGAGTTTGGAAGAGATGTGCAGTAGCCTACCATTATTAATTATTTCTTCCATATAAAATCAATGGATCTGTATAATCTGTTTAAAAATATTTTTTAAATCATTGATGGACCTGTATTTTGTTTATTTATATCTAATGGAGAGAATTAAACCTAGTGCCTCCCATGTGCGAGGCAGGTGCTCTACTACTAAGCTACAACCCCAGCCCTGGACCTGTATAATTTTAAGAGCACTGATAATAGTAAAATGTGGTAAAATATATTATCTTTATTTTAACATGATTTATTAAATTGTAGGCTTATATCATTTTATTTCAATAATTGTTGTGTTTAACCAACTCTGAAACTTCCTGAAAATTCAACAGCAACCTCTCAGGAGCTGGCAAGAGATGATTCCAGCACAATAATGCCGTGTTCCCTCAAGTCACAAGTGGAAACGAACAACCAAACCAAACTGGGTCATCATCAACAAGAAGAGAGGAGTAGATGTTGGGCAGGTAGTCAGCAGTGTCTGCTATGACCAGTATTCATGTGAAATGTAGAACATCTCCATCTATTCTTGTTTCCTTCCAGTATTGTATGAGTGATAGTTCTACAAGAGGTCAAGGTGGGTTACGGTGTTACAATGGCACTGAGGCCACTGATCTACCGTCTGGCACAGAAACAATGACATTGGTAGATTCTCACTGAAGACTGGTGAAATGACTGAACACCTACTGGAATCCTGGCCCAGGCTCCTAGTTCCCCTGTCGTAGGAGGCCTAGAGATATAAACATAGACCCTGTGGAAGGTCAGGAGAACGAGTCTAAAAAGTTCTCCTTATATTTCTTGTGAGAAATGGCAGAAATAGAAGAAAAGATCACACCGAATTAATTAATAATATTCGGTAATCCTTCTCCTTTGAATAGTTTCTTGTGGTAGTCTGGGGACCAAACTAAGGACACAAACAAGCAACAGCAGCAAGGGCTTTATCTGTGACTTTGTTTGAAAAGCAGAATTTTGGACCCCAGCCCACACTTACTGAATGAGAATCTAGAGTAGAGTTTAACATTACCCTCTAGTAATTCTCAGGCTCACTATGGACTGGGAAGAGCTGCACTAGTGAATGCAGCCGAGTCAGTGTCCTGTTACTCCTTCCTGGGAGCCCTGCCTGCCCTATGCTCTTCAGTTTCTAAGCACTTTGTTTCTCATTGCCCAACACCACCATTGTCACAATCTCCCTCTTAGAGAAGGAGGAAGAGAATCTTACTGCAGAAGTAAAAGGAGACTCAGATGAATGAATAAAGAAAGTGTTATATACACGTGCAGTGGAATACTCCTCAACCATAAAGAAGAATGACATTACGGCATTTGCTGGTAAATGCATGGAAGTAGAGAACATCACACTAAGTGAAATAAATCAGACTCAGAAAGTCAAGGCTTGAAGGTTTTTTTCTCATATGCAGAAGCTAGACCAAAATAAGGAGAAAAAGAAAAGGCCAGGGGAGGGGTGTCCCATAAAAACAGAAGAGAGATCAGTGGAGTAGAGGAAGGAGACTGAGTGGGAGAGACGAAGGAAGGGAAAGGGAGGAAAGGTAGAATGAAATTGACCAAACCATTCCATGCACATGCATGAATATAGCACCTTGAATTTCACCTTTATGTATATCTATAATGTATTAATTTTAAAAATCTATAAATAAATAGAAGGAAAATGGTAGACTAGAGAAAAAGGAACAGGGGCAGGGAGAAGAAGAGGGAAAGGGGAAGTACTGGGGACTGAATTGGAGCAAATTATATTCCGTGCTTGACTGATTACGTCAAAATGAACCCCACAATCATCTATAACTGTAATGCAGTAAATTTAAAAAAAATTTTTTTTAAAGACTCAGAGTGTAATGGGTTTGCCCAAGGCTAACAGGCAGCACAGGTTGGGCCAGGCCTGTCTCTAAGTCTAACCATCTCTTACTCAATACAGTCTTAAAGTAACATTTCTCAGCTTTTCCACTTCACCAGCCACAAATCCTCTAGCTTGACTTTTCTAGGACTCAGTTCCATTATTTGTAAATTGAGACTAACAACACTACTGACTCATGGAGTCATTATGTGAATTAAAGTTAACATATATAAAGCATGGGAAAGTGCTTTATAAACATTACTTATTCTGATTCCCCTCTAAATTCATAATGCTGAATTTTTATGTATTTATTTTTTTCCTCCCACCCACCTACTAAGTTTCTGGCAGCACAATGGCTTTTATAGATTTTAGTGTTTATAGTCTTACTTGTCAAATATGTATGCTCTGTCTCCAGAGTTAGATAATTTTCCAGACAGAGAAAATCCTGTTTTCTCTCTTTTTTTGGTCATGTACAACTCCTAGCAGAAATCTCAAACCCAACACAAAGAAGCCAAGCAGGTATTGTAAGAGCCCAAAAGAGGCCAGGTTCTTTCAAGGAAGACACAGTTCAATGCATGTCCTTCTAGAAAGGGCATGATTGCAGCTGATACTGCCTTAAATAAAACACAGAGACAATATTGTCAGACCTTCCATTTTTCTTTCAATGCAGGAAGAAATCCAGAATTTCATGGAAGTTTTAGGTGTTGGCTCAAATTTAAAAGAAAAACACAGTGAAGTCCAAACAAAACACATTTGTGGACTCTATCCAGCCCACAAACTGGCAACCTTCTTCTGCAGAGAGAACAGCCTGAGGAAATACACAGATTCGAGACATTGCATGGCATACCTGGGGAACCCAGCATATACAGTGGTGTGACCAGAGTGCACCAAGCTGGGGATAAGGGAAAAGTGAGGGGCGGAGAAGAAAAAGACTATGAAATTAAATCTAAAAAAAGCAAATATTATTTAACTGTTTTGTTGGGCAGCCTCTTTCAAGAAGTTTCTGGACAGTCAGTCTGATTTAATTGTTTTGGATCAAAGGAGACCCCTTTCAACCTTGGCACAGTTGTGCATCTTAGGGGAACACAGTGCCTCACCCCCAAACACGTGGTTTTACTTTTTATTTATTTTAGCCAACCACCATATTCAAGAGACTTCTTAAGTACCCTAGATATCAAAAGAGGAATTGTAAAACATTCAAGACATTATATAGACATAAACAGAAACATACTGATTAAATTTGCCTGGAATTATCCTTGGATCGGATAAACTAAAAAGGAAATTAGGATGAGGAGTGAGTTGTGGTGGTGGTAGGGTGACCGGGTATTAAGAAGTCTGGGTTAAATCAATATGCTTAGGCCACAGCATTTCCCATCTCAGCATACCTTAAATGAGGAGGAAGAACATGAGGAAGAGCCAAGATGACTATGAAAGTGGGTCTTCCTTAGAGAAAATTTCAAATGCAAAATTCCAAATTTACAGATGAAATTGTAAGAGGATTCATGAGTATTCCTGGTGTATTTAAGCTAGTTCCACTTGCAAAAGTTCTATTTAAAGACAACTTTCCAAACTGATATATAACTTAAATAATAATATTTTGTATGAATAAGCGTTATGAGGTCTTTCTAAAGTCAATCGTTATCTTCTTTCACATTTCTTGATGAAACTATTGTATATAACTGCCCAGGTATGCACAAACTTGTTCTAGGAGCCAAGATTTATGGCTCAGATATGAGGTATCCCCGCCCAGAGCTACTTGTTAATGCAGGGATAGTCAGAGGTGAAATGACTGAATTATGAGAGCAGCAACCTAATTGGCCCATCCCAATTTGAGTGAACTGAATGGTAACTATAGGCTCCAGACTTTGCTAGAGCAGGTGGGTCATGGGGGGCACACTCTGGAAAGGTTCATCTTCCTTGTGTCCCCTTCCCATCTCATTCTCTCTGCTTCCTGACTGCCATATCTTCCTTTGCCTGATGTTCCGCCATGATGTTTTGCCTCACCCCAGGCCCAGAGTAATGGGGTTGGCCAGCCATGGACTGAACCTCTGAAATCATAAGCCAAACCATACTTCTCCTCCTCTAAGCTGTTCTCATTAGGTACTTTGGTCACACAACAAAGAATTGACTAACAAATTCTAACACTGATGCTGTGTGGTTCCCTTGGGCTAACTCTAGTCCACTATTGATTTTTTTTTTCCTACAGTCTTTTTGAAAAGAGAAACTAACTGAAGAGATTTTAAATATTGTGCTCTTGATTTTTGGTAGACCAGTTGCATTTTGACAAAAATTTTTAAAGCTGGCTTGGTATTATTGTCATTAAATAGGCAATTTCCTTAAATTAAATTACTCTAAAACATCTATTCCCTTACAATTTCTCCTTTTGTTGTTGATTTGATTTTTTGTGGGTGCAATTGTTCTCAAAAACAATCATTCTTTCAAAAATGTTTTTCTATGTAAAAAGGAATTATTTGGACTCGCAAATAATCAAAGAAATGCAAATTAAAACAATACACTATTTTGTTGCCTATCAGATAGGCAATGATTAAAAAGAATATTAATACTTGGTTCTAGTAGGAGTGAGGAAAGGAACTATT